AGAAGTTAGGCTAATTACTGTGATGACAGCATGTATGCCGTGAAGGTATTACAGTAATCGCACAGGTAGTCGCGTAAGCATCACAACGAGCAAGTTTAGATTTCATTGTTTTGTACCGGACATTTGATTGGCTGGATTTGACAATGTTGGAATCTATTGTTTCAGTTCTGTCATCTGATTTGTTTTCATTGTCTGGGTGGCCCCGGTTTCAGTAAACTGTAAAACTTGGTGACCAGACTTTCGTCCCGCCTTACTCAACTGATAATCGTAGTAACTAATCACATTGAACACAACATTAATGTTCAACATTTTATTAAACCAACTCGACAGTGTTTTCTGGGGCTAACAACTTTCGATGTTTACTAACTTAAACGAACTTTATTTTAGGGTAGTCATTTTTACTTTATAAGCACAAGGTAAGCTAAGTAATGTAATACATGTATGTAAATGGCAGTATTACATGAAAATGCATTACATATTGATCACCACATGAACAACTAACATTTTTCGTTGCCCAAAGTAAAGAATCAATTCGTTAACATATTTCCAAACTATAATTATAATGCCGGTTACATTTTGTTAAACCAACTCAACAGTGTTTTCTAGTGAGAAAAAGAAAACTTTCAATGATTATATTACTTCAACGAACTTTACATTAGGAAACCATTTTTTTATTTTTATAAACTAAGCCACTTATGTAGTGTATGCATTTCAATGGCAGTATCAAATATTTAAGTCGGTGAAAATACACATATTCATTTATTTGTTGCTAGTTGACAATTAGATTATGAGCTTGAGATTTCTATGAGGTGATAGTTGATGAGGCTTCATAGAAGTCTAGAGCGAATAATCTAACTGTTTTAGTGGAATTCTAACTGAAATCTCCTTCAAATAACAATTCCAATTATTTCTGGTCTTAGTATTAAACTTCACGCTTTAGAGAATTCGCGCGAACTAAGTTAATATCAGTTTGACATTTGCAGATGTGTGCGCGCGCTTATCAGTTTGTTTCAAACTTTTCGAGCTTTTTAAATTCAAGAATCCGTAAATGCCCTCCTTCTAGTCTTAGAAATTTTGTTTATTCATTTGTTTCTAAATGTTCTTTCAAAACTTCGGAGAAACGAGGAAGCGTTGGAATTTTATCGACCACACCAAGCCACCGAACACTAATGGCTGATAGTGTGCAATGGCTCAGCCAATCAGATTACAGCATTGGCATTAGTATACCAGTAGATAAATATTGAATATTATACTCCCATCCTGTTGCATCCTCTCAAATTTCAGACTTAATTTTCAGTTGTTGTTGTTGTTGTTGCTAGTTTGTTTGCTTTTTGACAACAAAGCTCCGTTATAGCACTCGACTACATCATTTTGTTGTCAATAAAGCTTAATTTGAAAATAGGATTCTCTTGAATTACAATGTTGCAAAGAACGTCCTATACACATCTTATGTGTAACGGAACTGTTCCTAGCTAGAGTAGGTGCCATAAATTAGTTGGCAAAATTTCCCCGCACTTTTCTCTGCTTCTCGCAGCACCATCTTCGAGGTTCAGCAGAAATTGATTTGAATTTGACGTGAATCATCTTGACGCTACGATTTCCCTGATTTGAATACTTTACCGAGAGAAGGCCTATTTATAATAATAATAATAATAATAATAATACTAATACTAATAATAATAATAATACTAATAATAATAATAATACTAATACTAATACTACTACTACTACTACTACTACTACTAATAATAATAAAGATACTATAGTTCATAACATGAGTTTTCTGGAAAAGCCTTTGTCTTGAAAAGTGCAGTCTCTTCCATAAGTCACGACAAAGAAAACAGTGTCACCGATGTGACAGCATTCCCATGCCTTTAGCTCTCTTTCTTTCTGCCCCCGCCTTACGATTGTGATTGGCCCTCATTCCTTTATTGCGCTCATTATGGGCTCTGTTTTTCTGCTCAGCAGCACTTACACCCCTGCCACGCCCTTTGGGTCCTCCCCTTTGCCCCCCTGTCGCAGCTTCTCCCTCCTTCCCTTCTTTCTTCTGTATTCCTCTACCGCGTTGTCTTCGATTAATAAGAGCTTTGTCTACTTCTGGCTCCTCTGCTTTCGCTTTGCCTTCTTCTGATGAACTGTCCTCGTCGCTGTCTTCATCTTCGTCATCTGATGGTACTGGAGAGCCGCCAAGAACTCGTGGAATAGTAAATGGCCTATAAATACAAATCAACCTGTCATCTATGTCCTTTGTGATCGGCTTGAGTGATTACCTTGGTTTTGGGTCTACGACACTAAATTCCATAGTATGTTATCACTGGTTTAACTGGTGGTTCTCAGGTCAGGAATACTTGCGAATTTTTTTTTTTTTTTTGGCATTACCCACCCCCTCTTCCTTCCTCAACATCAGTACAACACTCCCTCAAGAGAACAAGAACAGTGTTGACAGGCTTGAAAAGTCAAATACAACAGGCCTTATTTTCCCCTCAACTTTACATCCCTACCATCACCCAGCGCATGGTATAACCCCACACACACTGCCACCCACCTTCGTATTGTCAGCTCATCTGCTGAGTCAGCATCTTGCGCTCCCACATTGTGAGAATCATACGTATCATCGTACTCGTCATCATACAAATTGGCAATGCGCACGTGTCTATTAAACACATCGTAAGCAGAATACCTCTCCTTCACCGATTCTGTGATGTGACTCTTATCAGATAACAAGTTCTTAAGATTTGCTCTGTCGCGACGTTTGCCTTTTTGAACTTTTCTTACATCGACTTTGTTGCCTGAAAAAACATCAAATTCATCTTTATCAAAGACCGAGTGTCTTTGCTCAAGGACAGTTGTCTCGGGCGGTTTTCTGTCTTTCAGTAACTGTTCTTTGGACAAGCTCCTGTTTGCGTTTTGAAGGGAAGGTGGGAGATTGTCTTCCAGTAGTAAGTTAACGACTTGTTCAACATCGTAGTTCAGTTCCTCCAAACACAGAATAACGAACCCATCCCCCAGTCCTGGCAGAAGATCTTGAATGTGTGTCACCATGGAAAACAACTCCACTTCATTCACAGTTTTGGATGTTGCTCCCTCGTTCTACAAATCAATCGATCAATTAACAAATAAAAATAACTTATAATACACAGAGAGCCACATCAACCTTTGCTGCTTTTTATTCGGATCCTCATACCGATCGATTGGAATTTGAAGATGTTGGTTTTCCAGGAGGGAGGAAAACCGGAGAACCCGGGGAGAAACCCTTGGAGCAAGGTGAGGGCCAACAACAAGCTCAACCCACATATAACACAGGACTGGAATCCAACCCGGGCCACATGGGTACGAGACGAGCGCTCTCATCACTGCGCTATCCCTGCTCCCTACACAATAAATGTAAGGTGATTAGTGAAGCCCAGTAGGGTGGGGGAGGGGGAGGGGGTAATACCACACACGTATAAATGTGATGGGACGATTCCTGGTTGCTTAGGGTGTTTAAATCTAAAATGACCAGAGTTTGTGGAATTCTTGTACCATTTAAGCCACTAAGGCAAAAAAAAAAAAGAGTATCACAGGGATACTAGTAAGAAAAGAAGGTATTAGAACATGAGAAATCATCTTTAACCTCTAAGCTAACCTGTGACCGGGTGTTCTTTTTTCGAGGCGTCAGAACGGAGGACAAAAACAACGCCTGATCGCAGGTTGACGGGGCATGAACACTTTACCACCACTCTAGATCTCAAAGGTGTCCACTCAGACAAGGTTAAACTATAGGTATGTTTGACGAGTGTGAGAAATTTTACTTTACCTTACATTCCACAAATCCATTTACATCTGAAATACGTTCTTCTCTCCATTCATTCAAACGTCCATTAACTTGGTTATCAACATCACTGCCCCTGAGCGTAACGTTTTCACCACTCCCTTGTGGATCAACATTCTTTCTCTGAGCTAAATGACAAGGGAATGCTTTTCTTGCGCTGTCGACAGCAGCCAAAATATAGTCCACCCTTGTTTCATCCACACTTGCTGTGGACTGCTGGATTCTGTTCAAGTCTTCTGTTACGCTGAATCTCGAGTCGTAACTACTCAGGAACCTGGATATTGAAATTATATTGACTGTTCAGTTAATCCCTGGCTTGCAAACTTGTTGCTATAATGGCCAGGCATATATTGAAGTCCAATCCAATTTAACAGAAGAGTTCCTAGGAGAACCTCCATTTGGGTGGGGAAATGTGCACAGATATTTGTCCACATATGTTATATGTTCTCTAGAAGCAAACAGCTTTGTGAGAGCAAACCGCAAGAAATACTGTTAGTTTCGAAAAACAGATTATGTCAAGGACAAATTATATCTAACCATATTTTCACGACAAATTATATAAGGTTATTTAAAGTTATTGTCCTTCAAATATTTTTATGTAAGGTCGCTCTTTCGAGGAGATCTCTTTTCAGACTCTTTAATGTCTTAAAAACGATTCTGTGGCTGTTTATATTACTAGTTTGTTCAAAATATTTAGTTGGGATGAAAACTGAAGGTCTAAATGGAAAATGCAAGCTTTCAAAACTGGTGAGTGTCACTTGTGGAATATATAACCAATAGCCTCCAATTGGGATGAAAATATGTTCAGATATTTGTCCGCAGACATTATCTGTACCAAGAAGTGGACAGTTTTCCAAGAGCATAGCTCAAAGAAAACTGTCAGCTTAGAGGAACAGATGGTATCCAAGGACAAATATTTGCACCAAATGGAGGCTGCTGTGTTTCTTATCCTCCAAATATTTTTCGCAACATGCACAGTTTTGAAAATTGCGGATATCACTCAGAAATTCCCCTGTGTTAGCTGGGAGCATATTCAGTCAAGTAACGCATTTAGACCAAACTTGCACAAGGGAAAATAATTGGTGGATTATGACATCTGATATTCCTCAGTTTTGGCTGCATAATATGACATGCCCAGGCCAATCACGCACAAGCTATTATATTTCATAGATTATAACTCCCGGTGCTACAGACAGCAAATTGCAGTTCTTATAGTGTTTGTTGTTGTGATTATATTGTTTTAGTTTCCGCTAAACAACCTTAGGAAAGTACCAGAAAAACGTCAACAGCAGTCATTTTCAATTTAAACACCCTAAGCAGTACCAAATTATAAATTTTAACCGCTCAAGGTATTTAGTTAACTTTTCTATCAAAATGGTAGACTGAATAGTCTTGTGCAACATTCACCTTTTCTCAGAGAGAACGGATGTTATCACTTCCAAATAATCTTCAACGCATGATTGAACTTGCTCATCATTGCTGTTGATTTCTCTGTGACAGAAGAAAATATACACAAGAAATAAATTTGCTTTTATGTCATTACTGCAATATAAACTGATTCTTTTTGGCAAATCAATCAAACAGCTATTGAATCTAAGACTTATCAAGGAAATAAGCTCTCTTTCCCTTTCACTACCATAATACATTTTGGATGCACGGCGGCCTCATGGTTAGTGTGCCTCTGTCCACCAAGGTAGACAAGGGGTCACAAATGAGTACAGGCAAATTAATGCTGGGAGGTAACCCTGTGATGGACTAGCATCCCATCCGGGGGGGAGAAGAAGTATTCCTGGTCGCTTCATGCGACAGAAACTGTGATAAGCTCCAGCCTGATGGGCCACTTTGCTTGGATGTAGACTTAACCTTTCTAAATGGAGTTTGGACCATATTATATCAATAAACTTCTAGAGGTATTGTTAATCTCAGCTTTTCAGATGGAATGTAATGCAGTGTTTGCCTACATTCCTTAATTTTCAAACTTGTCTTACCTGCTCTCCAAGGGTCCAATACAACAGGTGTTGAGAATCACACGGCAAATCTTGATGAATGCCACCTTAACAAGTTTCCACTTCTCCTTTGATGCCCGCGATTCAACATCAGTAAAATGAAGTCTAAAATACGGAGTGATTAGTTCATAAAAGCCAGCTATTCTCTGTACAAAACCTTGCCGGTGAAATGACTCACAGACTGGGGTATATGTACCCAAAAAGGCCAGCAATGTCTCTGTTGTGTCATTCAAATAAAGAACGATGTCCTCTCGTTGTTGAACGGTCAAGGACACCTTTGGGCCATTCTTTGCATCACTAAGTTTTAGAGGAAGATTTGAAGGGTCTTCAGTTTTATGTTTAATTCCACATCTTGACAAGATATCATCTAACGTTTCATAAATTGTTAGGATTGTTGCATCAAGGTCGCCATGATACCTGAAGAAAACAAAAACAGAAACATCAACCAGGTGCAGAAATGAAGCATCAAGAGCAGAGTCCATAGTGATTCTGCCACAAGATTAAACTTCTAGGTATTTCAAAGAATGCCAGTAATTGGGAAAAGTTGTGGCCTGATTAAAGACTCAATATCATGAATTTGTGGTTGAACCATGATTAACCCCTGGGTGAAATCATTGTGTGGTGTTTTGAAGCAAACAAATCCACAGTCCTGTTAATCACATGAAACTTATTGTCATGGTGGATGACAGCATAGGTTGTAAATTAGCCATTAAACAATCAAAAGCTAAAACAAAAACAACCTTAAATTAGCCTCACTTGGGTTGTTTGGAGAAAATGTTTTCCAGCATTTTCCTGAGAAGTGGAGTATTTGTGCTGTTCTCCCCTCCATAGAGGACACAAATGTCCATGATTTTTGGAATATCAAATAAAAAGTTCTCATAAAGAATATCTCCAAATGTGCTCAATGTAAAGAAGTCCTCCTGCAGAGAAAGGTAATGTGAATGAAAAACAACACACGGCAAGGCAAAATAGGCCTTTCTCAAGTTGTCTTTTGCCTCTGAATCAAAATGAGTCTTTGTGCAAAACCATTCATATGAAAATGCATTCCACCTACAGGTTCATTTTCATGCAAATGAAACTCATTTTCACATAAAAGGTTTTGCCCAAGGACTTGTTTTGAAACAGATGCACAAAGTAAATTCGGAAATGGCCTATTGAATGTAACATGCTAAAGCAGTTGAAGTTCTTCAGAACAAACAATTTTTATGGTGGGCATTAACCCAGTTTTGGTGTTAACACTAGTGTTAACCCTAGTTTTTTATTCCTTCCTGCTTTCAGCTTAGGAAATTAAAATTACCCTCTAAAAAAAACAGCAAAAAATGAAAAATAATGTATAACCTCCTAAATTTATTATGGCCAGGAGTGTTTCAGTGGAAGGTCTAGACGACTTGTAATTAAGTCTAATAAAGTCTAAGTCTAATTCTCACTGCAGAATCTAATAATTTGAAAATCTTCCCGACCCAGTGGAAACTCTTTTAAACCATAATTTATAAATATATACACCACATGTGTGAAACTACTAACAAACTGTGAGAAGCGTGAATAATGCATTGTAAACAAATGGCATGTTGTGCAAGAATTTGCATCGTAAGGAATGTTTGCAAGCATTTTGTGAGGTGCATAAGTATTGTACTGTAAGTAGTTTTCTGGGGCCCTAATGTCTTCAATGTCAAGCGCGTCAATGACACCATTTCTTACTTTTGCAAGATTATTTCTTTTAGGTAACTGCACTTACTTGTAAAATACTGCATTATTTTCCCACTCAAATAATAAAACATTTTTCTTATCTTCATGTTGCCATGCAACATTAATTTTCTACATATTCAAGACTGTCCAAAGTAGATAGCTGTGATGAAAATCACCATCTACTTTATGATCTCTGCAAGCAACTCTGCTGAACTATTCTACTGATTCTTAAGAAAAGATGGCAAAATCTGCTGCCTTCTACAACAATGAATAAGGCCGCCTGCTTCAAAACTTTGTAACAAGCCAGTATATTTACCTTGGATTCCTTGTGTGTTGACATCCTGAGATATGTCATGAACACTCTTTTGTGGACGTTTTCATGGAGAGTGGCTGGTTCTGGGGGAAGGACTGATGAAGCATCAAAGTTTCTGATAGCAGATAGCAAAAAGTCAAAGCTATCTTCATTTAAAAAATTATCATCCACAACCAAGTGAGGACAAAGAGTATGAAAGTTAATCCCAAACAAAGAACTCATTCCCAAAGCAAACCTGTTCAAGTTATTTTTACTGTAGTACTCAGTTCTCCTGCAGATAATGATGCCACACAGAATACCTAGGTATTTTCGTGGAGAATGAAAACATCAGGAAAGCCACATAGACCATCGTTGTGACCGAAATCTGTGTCACAAAATTGACTGTTTCTCAACCCTCCTATGATTTGCAGAGCTCGACATTATGACTGCTAGGGTTGCCAATGTGACCAGACTTTTTTCACTGGCGAATAATTTTTCATGCCTTTCACTGAAATACTTTTGCTGACAGCTAAATCTAAAAACTTGGGCGCCAGCTGGCCCCAAGGGTTATTCCTGAAAGTCGAGCCCTGACTTGTCAATCCCGAAGTGATATAAAAAATTCCACCTCAGTAGAAGTAAGTCCACAATCATTTTCTGACACAAGATATTGAAGCACTTATCTAACAAGCCACTAGATTCATTAACAGACTTTTAAATTACTTAAGGCATGACTAAATGCACAATAAACAAAATGTATTATTTACCTAGGGGCACATCTAAGGTAAGAATCCAGACACTGCTGTAAAGTTTCATCAAATATCACCTAAAATGATACAGAATTCTTATAAAGTCTTTATTACATATTGTATCAAGTAGTCAATAGAATACTGTTTGTAGTATGCTATGAAGAAGAAAATATGTATGAAAAATAAACAATGATGGTAATAGTGGGAAAGACTGAAATAGGGATAATAGTAGCTTCAAAAATTTAAATTAGTCATCTGGTGTTTCTTGAGAGGGAACCTAAGCTTATAAACCCCGTGGTTTTTATTAAGTTTCCTCGCCATTTTGTTTTCTATCCCTTAATATATAAATTGTAGTTTTATATGTTCATTATAATCTTGTATATTAATTTTTTTAATTTATTAATCATTGTACTGTAATTCTATTTTTGTTTGTGTGGCAAATCAAAAAAATAAAATTAAAAAATTCATAATTCATTAAGGAAATACAAAAGAAAGTGTCTTTAAATTTGATACAGACACGGCTAAATTTTGCAGCTGATTTTCTCCAAAAAATAGTAATAAACCCAAGGATTATTCTACAAATGAGTAGATCTACCACAAACGTTTTTGAAGCTGTTCAAAAAACTCGAAGCATGTGTTTTATCAGGTTTAAAACACTCAGCTACCCCTTGTGTTTCAAATCTGATAAAACACTGCTGCTCGTTCTTTAAATATTACTTTTAAGTAATGTTTATTATTAGTTTATTATTATCAAAATAATAATAAACTATTATTATTACAATAATAATAAACTACAGTCTTGAAATAGTTTCAATTGGTTATACCTTTCAAAATATACTAGCTGTTATGTTGCACGTTTAAAATATAATCATTCAAGTACCTGACACCAAAACCTGTTGTGTGGAAGACTCAGGAGCCATTTTAAGTCTTCATTAATAAATGATATTCTCTCACTCCATTCTTCCATGCTGCCATGATCCACAGCAGAGGCAGATGATAGCTGCATGGGAGGAGGGGTGTATGGCAAAAACTGCACATCTTCAATCCAGACAGGATTCTATTTAATGGACAAAAAGTAGAATGCCTCATAAATATTATGTTTTGAAAAATATGCAATTATATTAGATAAAAGAATATCTCAAAAGCTAAAGGTAGAGTCTGCATAC